TAACAAGCGTTTTGTGAGCCGATGCTGCAAATGCGCGGACCTGGGAAGACAGTCAGATGTGTCTCCTGGTCGTGACGACGGAACGTACCTCGGGGAAGCTCGCGCCAGTCCTGATCTTGTCGATACCCTCGAGCAAACTGCTAAGATATTTTGCGGCGACGGCGGGATCGCGGACGAGCTTGCACACGTTCTCCGTGATGACGACCGTGCGCCGTTGTACCTCCAAACTGCGTTCGTTCAAGCCTCGGTTGAGTAGAGGGACCAGGATGGCGAGCGAGGGCGCTGTAACCTCGGCGACGAACGTCGTATTCGACAACGCCTTGATTGTGTTCGGCACCTACTTGCACGTTTAATGTTGAACCATCACATGCGAATATTCTGACCTCTGCAGGAGACGCCATAGCCGAGATCAACAGCGGGATGTGCGGCCTGAGATCCGGATTGGGCAGTGTCGCGCAGAGTGTCGTAGCAGTTTTCGCAGCAGCGGTAGCCACCTAAGGGAGTGTAAGTCACAGTACATGTACGGTGCATGCAGCGCACCTCTTGCTTCGTGTCATGCATGGCGCCTTCTACGAGCGGCAGTAGGACACCCAGCATCTGGGCGATCTCCTCCTTGTCTTCGTCTCCCTTACCATCGAGTAGCGTTCCCATCGCTTTAAGACAGCCGACCTTCCCTTTCCACTTGCTGCACGTCTGCAGGTTGGAACTGAGGACTTGCATGACGGTCTCGGTGGCCTCGACTGGAGTCAGGCTGATCAGGGCCTTGATTGCGCCGTTGGCAGCGACGCGAACAACATCCCCCTTATCCGAGAGGAGTTCGAGCAGGTCCGGCAATGTCGATAGAAGGAGGGGGAGCGCTGGCGCGCCCAGACACTGACAAAGCGCCTTGACGCCGATAGCAGCGCCTTCGCGAGCAAAGCCAGATTTTTTATCCTGAGGGCGAGTCAGACTATGAGAATAGGTCTGAGCACTATTGCGCACGTTGGCAAAGGCGTGATAGGTTTCTAAAACGTGCTCGTCGCTGCGCAGGATGAGCAATGTCACGCAAGACACAAAAACGCATGGCGCACGTCAAAGTCGCGAGCCCAACATTGAAGACGGCACGCGCGATGGCATCGGCTGCAGCTGTAGCCTCTGGCGCGGTGGGCGCGGCCTTGAGAGCGTCGAAGAGCGCCGGGAACGAGGGTGCGTCCGAGCCCATCGCTGGCAGGAAGGAAAAGATGCCAGCCACCGGAGATTTGCGAGCGCGTTCAAGTTGTCGCCAAACCTTCAGGGGTCAGTAGTTCACTCTCGTACAATTCCAACGTCTTCTCATATGTGGCTAAATATTACTTGACTGAGGGCGTGCTCAGCGAGGACATGAACCCAAGCCAGAAGCAACACGTAAGGCTCGTCAGACGATTCCCGACGAGCAGTCTCTCAAGTTATTTCCAATGCGAGTGAACGACAATGATCGCGGAAGTGACGGTCTTGTACAACTTCGCGTTCACTGTGGCCAGGTCCGTTGGCGAGTGAGATGTACTGATAGTCCGAGCCTGTCCTGCAATATGGAGGGCAGTACAACACGACAGCAACTTCAATCTCGTTATGCTATCTGCTTCGTACTCAGAGCGATCGGACACGGGGCGAAGTGGAAGAGAAAGAATCGGCGGTCGGCTCGAAGCGAACGAGCATTCTTGGCCCAGGGCACGTATCTCCTATTGTCACTGCACAAATCCTACGAATTCCTGAAGGACTTGTAGCTCAGTGGTAGAGCATTGATAGTCCGTCTTTACTGACCTACTGTCGCACCCATTCTACATAGCGAACGAGGGAAGTTACTCCACTTAGCGCCGTCGCCCTGTACCACTTCTCTGGAGTCCCGACATCGGGCAACGCACTAATAGCACTGCCAAGACGCGTGAACTGTCGCTGTGGAGGTTTTATAAGTTATTATGTCATTATAGATGGGAGCGTGCACGTACGCCTGGTACTATCGTGTGACGCTGGCGCCGCCGCACCCCCGCTCTCTCAGCAGCTTCATCTGCACCGACCTTGCGGAGATACGCAAGGAATGCCTTGGAGTTTTCGTACTTGAAGTCCATGCTGGCAAAGAGTTTCAGCAGTTCCGGGCTCGACGGATCGCGGCTCAGCAAACCGCGAAGTGCGGGAGTGCCTCCACGCGCTTGCGACGCATCGAAGATCTCCTTCATGAGCCGCGTGATGACAGTGGGCCCTGCAGACTCTGCCTTCGCTGTCGGCTGGGATACAAACCAGTTCATGAAGGTTCCCACGAGGGCGGCATGTTCGTTGTCCTTGTTGAGCAAGGGTCCCCAATCCTGAAGGACTGACGCGACTCCGACGTACTCCACGTCAACGATATTGGAAACTTCGATGCGGTCGAAGCCCTGAAAGACTTCCGGTGCCTTCGCCTTCATCCGCGCTGCCATTCGCCGTGCGTCCTCGGCGGAGACGTGTATGGAGATGTTGAAACGCTTCAATCGCTCGGCGAACTCCAAGAGCTGCGCTCGGACGTGAAAGAACAGGCAGCCCATGATGTCTTCTTCGGTCGCACCGCAGCGTTTTCCACTCTCGATCACGTCGTCGACGCTGGGGAAACATTAGAATTGAGACGGGTGGTTTGGTAAAAGGACGTACTTCCAGCCCTCGAGCGGGTTCGCGCTGTCGAACATGAAAAGGCGTCCGCCGGGTCCAAAGAGCCAGCGGTTCGGAGTATTGAGATGGGCGTTGAAGGCGCCGAATGGTTGTACGATCCCGAAGCGACGCCACTCGAACATCGCCAGTCTGTGCGAAGGTCGAAGGGCAGCCATGTAACGATGGCGGTAGTCGACTCGCTCTGGAGCATTCATCACGTGCGTGAACGCGTCGTTTGCTTGCCCGGGATCAAGGCTCCCGTTAGAGACAAACATGCCGAGGGAAGAGCGCAAGTTCGACGTCGTAGCGATCGAAAGGGTGGAGGAGGGCGAGAGGTCGATCGTGGCATCGTCGTCCGACATCAACTTGTTTATGATCTCGGAGAGTACGGGAAGAACGTCGGAGAAGTACGCATTGGGAAGGAACACCGAGTACCAAATGTGTAGCGAATGCTCTGCGGCAACGCTCTATAGATAACTGGTAAGTCGATAAATCGGGAGCTTATCAGCAAGGCTCACCGAATCAGACAATAGTCCAAGGATGGCGAGCATCAGGATATTCCGTATTATCGTAATGGGCTCGCGGTCGTTGATGCGGAGGGTGAGACGACCGGAGTAATTCTTCGGGAGTCCGTTCACGGTACGGATGATATGCCGCAGGTCGCCGGACGCTGTCGCAGCCCGTCGCATTGATTAATGGGGTACGTCGTAAAGTAAAGCGTGCGTACCGACGAATGCGAGAGCAATGTCGCGAGCCGCAATGTTTTTTTTGTCCCTCGTTGCATGCGATGTTCAAAATATCCAACGCAGGCGTATTCCCCCACCTGAAGATAAAGCGTCAGACGACTGGAATTTGTAAGCATATCACCTTACAGTATCTGGCCCATCCCATACATTGATTGCTGCTCCCAGCCTGTCATAGACGAAGGCGACATGAAGGCTGGAGTACGGCGCTCCTTGACCCAGTCTGGCTGCCAGTCGGAACTTCGAATCGGGTCTTTACAGTCTACAGCCAAGGTCAGTCCCGACTCCCAGCACATCAGGATCGCAGACCTTTCTTGTGCTGTTTCCAGTGCTCCTTCTGGCAATCCTGAGAGCAGTATCCGACGAGTCGGCACGCAGAGCAGTGTCGAGTGCCTGGCTTGTCGCATGCCCGCAAGAGGTTCGGATCTTGGTTGGCGCACGGCAACCGCGACAGAGGTGGCCGTCGATGAGTATGGGGATCCTCGGTCAGGAGCACCTTCTTCTCCCACTCCTCCACGATGTCGTGTTTAGTGACGAGTCGCATGACCTCGTCCGCGAGTCGCGTGTTACGAATGTGGTTGACATCGGGACCGTTGCCTCCTGAGTTCAGGTGCACCAGCGGCGGTGGATGGGATGCAGAGAACTGGTGCAAGACCTTTGACAACAGTCGTACTTTGTCGTCCTTGGATTTGGCCGACACGAGGGCCCGATCGAGTTCGGCGAGCGCGCGGGTCAAGTCCGACATTTGGAGAGAGAGTCGCGTCCGAGTCTGCGTGAACCGCACACACGCAACAGAGCAACTTTATACAAGCAAAGAACGGCGGCGTAGGTGGAATAGCATGCGTGTAGAGCCCCTTCCCAACCGCGGTTTCAACTCAGCACGAGGCTTGGCCCTGATCCTACGTTCGCGATGCCGCGGATATCGGCCAATGAGAAACTATGGTGCAGACCCCTCCGAGACGGCGGGTCGCAACCAGACGATCTTGCCTTGCACGCAGTGGCGGCCCCATGACGCATGAGGATGTATGGACGCTTCTCTAGCCGCCTGCCAGCCATTAGAGACGAGGGCCCTGCAGTATGGAAGACGACCTGCACGAGGCATCACATTGTCAGCGTGTGGACCGCTGCATGGGGACTGCTCCAGGTGAGACAGATGCACACATCCTAGGTAGAGCACATAGTTTATGAGCATCGCTCATAACAATACCACGTCGAGAACTTGTTCTGGCTGTGGGAGGCTGGGAGCACGAGAGACGAGAGTACGTCGGCGACGATCGAGAAGCACAATGACACTACACTCAGCGCTAAATACGAGAAGAGGTCCATGGCCAAATAAAGATGCTACCTCGATGAGCTGAACGATAGAGTTGGTGCGGTGCAAGCAGAGCTGAAGGTAAAGTGCCCACGACGCGTCGGAGAGACACTGCGCGGCCAGGAAGACACCGGTGTCGGATCAAAGCGCTCCAACTTGGTGCGAAGGCGCACAAGACGCAAGCCGTTCACAACAGAGATGTGAAACCTTTGCTGTAACGTCGTGCAAGCGAACACAGACCTGAGCCGGCAAAAGCCGACCTCACGTTCTCCCGCTCGGACCTTCGAGAGCTTGCCCAAGGTCAAAAAACGTGGACCAGCCCGGGATTGAACCGGAGACCCTTGCATAAACGGTTTCCACATAAGTACAATGCTCTACCACTGAGCTACAAGTCCGTGCGGGATTCGTTGGGTTTTTTGCGTTGCCATTGGGGGTTCGTTGCCTTGGGCCAGGATTGTTGTTTGGTTTGGCCCGGCCGGCGGTTTGTTCTTTTTCCCTTTGTCTCGTTTTCGGTTGGTTCGGGTTCCCAGGCGATTGGCTCATTTGGTTTGAGTTTGTTTTGTTTTGTTCTTGCCTTCCTTTTTGCGGGCCGGGTTGGGCTTTTCGTTCCTTTTCCTTGGCCACGGGCCTTGGCGCCGTTGACGGGTTTTTCGTGGCCGTTCCTTTTTGGGTTCTTTTTGTTTCCTTGGCTTTGGAATTACTTTGAGGTGTTGCCGTTGGGGATTGTTTTGCGGGGCTTTGCCTTTTTGCTTTCGTTTCTTTTTTTGGGGGGGCCCCCCGGTTCCCTTACCCCTTGCTTACCAGTTTCTTGTTTTTTCTTCCCCTTGGCAGGCCCCCCGGGGCCCGGGGCGTTTTTCCGGCCCCACCATTTTAAGGGAAGGGGCTTGGGGGCTTGGGGTTACCGGGGGTCTTGGGGCTTCAGGCGGTTTTTCTTTTTTTTTGGTTGTTCAGGCGTTTGTTTTGTTTTTTGTTGGGGGGGGGGTTGGCGGGGCGGGGTTGGTTCGTTTGTTTTTTTTTATTTTGGCCGGCAAGGGGGGTTGGGGTTGCGGTTTTTGGAACTTTGGGGTTGCCCCGGGTTCCCGGGGCTTCGGGGTTTTGTTTCCTTTTCAAGTTTGGGGAAGGTTTGGGGTTCCTTGGGTTGAGCCGTTCTGGGGGTTTTTGTTTCGGCGGGGGTTGGCGTTTGCGGTTGGGTTTTTCCAGGCGGGGTTTGTTTTGGTTTTGAGGTTTTTGGTGGCCTTGGGGGCCAGTTTTTGCTTTGGGGGTTTCCACGGCGGTTTGGGGGTTGGCTTGCCGGGGGGGCTTGGCTTGTTGCACGGCGGCATTTTGTTGGGGGCCTTGGGCCTTGTTTTTTTTTTTTTTGTTTTGTTGCTTTTCCACTTGCTTTCTTGGTTGGGGGATTTTTGGGCAAGGCGGAAGACGTACGATATCAACAGTCTGGGAAAGCTTCTTGTTGCTCTCGACGAGCTTCTTGTTCTCTGCCTTGGATGCTGCATTTTCATGCTTTATCTGCCCCTGCTCCGCCTTGAGCGCCACGATCTCGGCCTTGAGCGTGGCGTTTTCTTGCCGGAGCGTAGTGAGCTGTTTCGTATGGTCGTGAAGCGTCCCTTCCAGCTTCACCCGCGCGCTTCGCTCGGCCTCGACAAGATTCTTCGTGGACGCCGCGGTTTTGTCTGTCTCCGTCTTCACCATCGCGTGCAGTTTGTCGGCTCTGTCCGCTGCCTCCTTGCGAATATCGGTGAAGGACGTTTCGCAATGCTCTTTGAGGGCAACGAGGTCACTCTCGAGACTCTTCAGTGCAGGGACGATTTCTTGGTTGACGACGGGCGAGAGCTCGAGGGTCAGACGAGTCGTATCGAGTATTGTGTCGTAGTCCTTGAGCATGTCGTTGTACTTCGCGTCGATGGCCGTGAGGGCCTCTGTGGTCTCCCTGCGCAGCTCTTCGACATCTCCTGCGTCGACTTTGCCATTGAGCTCAGTGCGGAAATTGTGCTGCTGCTTCTCGATCTCTGGGGCCACGAGCGCGATGACCTCGGTCGTAATCTTGAGCGCCATCTAAGCGACATCAGCCAGGGAACGATTTACACAGACGTCATGAACGCACCGCCGCGTCGTCCTCTGCGGATGAAGTGGGTTTCGTCTTCACGACGGCAGCTTCATCGTCCACTTCCATGTCTGAATCGTCGGCTGGATCAATGGCAGGCTGGCCCTCCCTCACTCGAGCCACCTGCTTCTCAAGTTTGTTGATCTTGGCGTCGAGCTTCCAGTAATAGTGGCGGAGGCCGTCTTCAGCATCGGTTGGGAGGTTGCTGGGCGGGAACACCGGCCAGAAGTCCGAGTTCGCAAACTCCTTGATGAGAATGTCGCACTGCTCTGTGACTTCCTCGAGGCGAGTCTGTGTCTCTTGCACGGTGGTGTTGGCCCTCTCCAAGACGTTGGGAGATACCTTGCTAGCAACCAAGGAGTCACGCAGCTGAACTCGCAGCTTGTGGGTCTCCTCCACCTCCTTCTTCGTACTCATCGTGGCAATGACCTTCAGAAACAAATCGGCGCGATCGACCCAGCGGCGACGCGCCTCGACCGCATTCTCCGTCTTGGGCGCAGGCGCCGAACCCAAGAGGCCCTGTATGATCGAAGTTGTGCTCATCTGGAACACGTTCGACATCGACGGAGGAGCCACAGCGCGAGCCATAGCCGACGACAGCGTGGACATAGTGGGAGATGATGTCGAGGGTGCTGGAGGGGGCGCCGGAGGAGGCATCGCGGCTGGAGGGGGCATGGCAGTTGTAGGAGACGGAGCCACGGGCGGAGGGGCCGGAGGTGGCTGAGTGACAGGTGCAGGCGGCGGAAGCTGCCGCTCAGGAAGCGTAGACGTTGCCGATGGCAGTGAGCTCCGGTCCCCACGCGGCGAAGAGGCCCGAGGCCTCGCTGCCAGCGGCGAGTTGCTCGTCGAGGGTCTGGAATCAGAGGCAGAGCGCACGATGGGCGAAGATGGACCAGCAGCACTGGGAGGAGGTGCGATGCGCTTGAAGATCGACGCTGGCCGCTCCCTGTCGCGCCCTGGGGACGACGAGTCTACCCTGGACCGCTTGCGCGACGGGCCAGCTGCGGGCGGAGGGCTGCTAGCGCCACCGCTTGGTCGCCTGTGACTGCTGTTCCAGCCTGTGTCTCGTCCGCGCTGGTCGTAACTGCCGTGACTTTCGCGCGAGGCAGGATGCCTTCTCCAAATGTCCTCCGGGTCAATATTACGGATCGCGTTGTACCAACCGCTTTCGTCGGGGTGTATGAATGTGCATTCCCTTTTGTGCGTCAAAGTCACTGCACGATTCAACTCGCCGCTACTCTTGTAAAACTAGGAGCGTTGTGAGCTAAAGCGAGATATCTGGACGCGCTATGAGCTCACCATGCACGGTGTGGCGGGCATCGCGGTAGGAGACACCGAGCGGCGGGTGGTGGTGGTGGTCGTATAGCAGCCACTCGCGGCGTCTCCCGAGACACCGGGCTCGATGTCCTCCATCCTCTCGCGACGGACGAGCTCAAGGTATGGAGGAGAGAGAGACAGCGAAACCTTCAAGCAGCGACCTTGTTTGCATGTTCGTCAATCTGTCCTTGTCCTTAGGCGCCGTGTTTGTTCCTCGGACCTCCGGCTGCGTTTTCTAAGTTACAGGAACAAGCTAACCCTGACACGTTCCCGCACAGCTGGCAAATGAATGAATCGATGCGCGACTGGCCAGCCACGTACGTCGGCTGCCGTCAACTAAAAATATCAAAAGTATTGCTATGCGAGTCAACAGAATTCCATGTCCAACGGTCTCGACCGCTACAGCTTAACGAAAGACGTTTCGATACCATGTCCGAAGTCCCAGATAGAAATCTGCTCTTCTCCGCAACTGACAACCTATTTTGCAAGACGGTCAACGCCTACGTAGCAGTGCGACGGAACCGCTGGACGACTCACCTTCGTACAGTCAAAGCCAACGCAGAACACGCGCCCGGGATGGCCGCCGGTCAGGTCTGCAATGAGCGCTCCGGATTTCCGGTCCCAGATCTACGAAGACAAGGCGTCAGGGAATGCATTCTGCATGCGTGCAGCCGGACTTGCCTTGACGGTGCCATCGTAGCTCCCACTGATGCACATGTCGTCCCCGAGAGCGACGGATCGCACGAGCTCTGAGTGCATTTCGCGCTCTTTGCGTCGACTCCAGCGACTGCGCGCAGATTTGGGCGAAGACGCGTCGGCGCCGCATTTCTCGCACGTCGGGCACAACGGCGCGACAGGCGCTGTCCGCGGAACGAGTTCGGAACTCGTGGACCAGCCTCCGAGGGGATTGGCGATGTTGAACAGTCGAAGATGCTTGTCGGACGAGCCAGTCAGAACCAAAGGCGGCGCAAAGTCGATGGACGCGATGCTAGGAGGTCAACGTCAGAAATAGTATGTCGCAAGAATATGACCCACCCTCTGGAATGGTGCGACTCGAGCGTGTGCAGGAGTGCACCCGTTTCGGCGTCCCATATACAGACGGAGCGGTCTCCGGACGCAGAGGCGATCTGGTTGCCCGAGATGGCCACGGCATTGACGGCGGCACGGTGCGTCTTGAGAACGAGGTGCGGCTTGAGGTCGGGGAACAAGTACGTGCGCACGGTGGCATCTGCAAGGTATGAGCTAGAGTCCATGCAAACGGGTGCGTGTGGACTCGCCCTTCGAGCAGGACACCAGTCGTTTGTCGTCGAAGCGCACGCACAAGACGCCGTCAGTGTGGTCCGTCAACAATTTCAACACCTGGCCAGTTTGGACGTCCCAGATGACGACCACCATATCGCTACCCGCACTAGCCAGGTATTTGCCATGTGCACAAAGGCTCAGCACGCTGCCTGTGTGCACATCTGCGAGCACCCGTTCGACACGACCACGCGAGAGATCCCACTGTCGGATTGTCGTGTCACGCGATCCAGTGAACAGCACCTGTCGCCCGTCCGGGAAGGAGTGCAGCTGTAAACAGTAGATGGTTGCCGTATGTCCGTCGGGAGAACCGCGGGTCTGCAACGTCAGACGTCGGTACGAGCCCTGCACGACGCGCGAGCGCAAGAGAGTGCGCGTTTGGTAGAGTAGTTTGTAGTCCGGCTTGGACTGCTGGTGCGCCGTCGAAGTCGAAGAGGAGGCAAGCGGTGGAGCATCAAGTTCGTCGTCGTCGACGAAGCCTTCTTCGCGTAATGCGTCGCGAAGCGCGGAGGTGGTGAACACCTCGTCCTCGTCCTCGCCGACGCCCTCGTCCTCGTCGATCTGGCGTTGCAGCTGCTGGTAGAAGAGCACACTCCAGCGCGGGTTGGTCGCCTTCCACTCCCATCCGCGTGCGGTGCACAAGCTCCTCCAGAGAGACGAGTCGAGGCCCAGCACGCG